TGATGTCAGTTTCCCCTTCAAATGGTTTGTTTTTGCGCATCAACCCAAAAGTGAATTCACTACACTTCTTGGGGGTGATTTCCCCATTCTTTGCAACCATCGCTCTTTTCGGAAAGAAAGATGCCTGGAAAGAATGGGGAAGGTACCCTAGAACAATGGGTTTCCCTTGGATTTGTTCGGGTGTCCCTTCCGACCCCCCACGCCTCCCAGCTCGAGCTTGCGCCCGCAGGCGCCGCGCAGCCTGGAGGAGCTCCGAAACCGATGCCCCTCCCGACGGCTGGGACCCAGGCGGCTTTTCCAACGAAAGTTTGAAAGCGCGGTGGATCGGCGACGACTCGGTACCTTTGGGTCGGTGGTTTGGTTGTGCGGTTGGTCGCCGGCTTTTGTTGTGCCTAGACTCTCCATGACCCTTTACAAACGGGGTCATTACCCGAAGGAAAGGGGTCATGGCCCAATTTTTAAAGGGTCATGGAGACTCTAGGTAGTTGCGAGCTACTGGAGGTGTTGCACTCACGTTGCGTCGGCTGACGCAACCAGACGTGTTCCTTGTAGATTTTGAGGGACGGTCTCTTGGGTTGCCCAGTATATAAACCAAATCGATGGCCAGCTAGGCAATGAGTGGGCACTCTTGCTTTCCTTCTCCAGGGTTGCACAATTCCTGCCCTAGTGGGGGGAAAGCTTGGCGCAAGGTCTATGTGGCAGGGAGTTTCAAGTGCAAAGGCTCCCCCAATGAAAGCTCATGCGATATGGGTTCCGTCCAATTAAAGCTCATACGATATGTTGTTTTTTTCAGGGTGCCTGACCATGACGCACTGACAACCCCGCCAGTTCGGTGGGTATGGGTCAAAATTAACCCACCAGAAAAACCGCAGAATTTAGGCTCTGGTTCCATTTACCAGGGCAAGCCATTTTGGAGTTACCCTATTTTTGACCCGCCAGTTCGGTGGTTTGCTCCACGTCGGAGGCACCTTTGTCCGGATCTCTGCTACTTCCGAGAGTTCGAGCCGGCGCGGCAGCTGCGCGTGCTGCAGGCTGGGGCCGTGGCTGGTGGACGTAATTGGCTCATGTCCGTTGCTTCCTTGTTTTTGGCTGTGGGTCAAGAATGCGCACCCAAAATGGCTTGCCCTGATAAATGGAACCAAAGACTAAAACCTGCGGTTTTCTGGTGGGTTTATTTTGACCCATACCCATTTGGCAAAGTGCCCTACAAGAACGGCACTGTGCGCAACTGCGTTGTTCACCCAACAAGTAGACACTAGATGGAAAGAACGCCAACTGGTTTGAGAAGGGTGGGGCAACAGGTGGGAGGCAAATTCATAAACTATAATGAGCCAATCTGGAGCTTAAAGTGCGTTTATGGTGTGTGTGTGTGTGTAAAATTTGTGCCATTGTGTAGCTGACGCGCAAGGGAACGGACGGGGAGAGTGACCGATGCTTTTCGTCTATAGGACCGTGCCGAAGCCGCGGGCCTGGCGCGGCCCAACGCAACCGCTAGGCGAGCCTCAACTCGCTTGAGGGTCTTTGGGCGGCGAGTTCCGATTTGTACTTTGGTAAATTTTGCCAAGGGATGTTGGTTGGCTTTTTGCCAACAAATGGGTTTTCCATTAAACCACTAGCTAAACTTTTAGCAGGGGAGCAGAAAGCAAGCGAGGGTAGATCTGTGTTCCAAACCACTGCCCCCAGGAAATGATGTGCGCACACGGACAGACAGACAGATAGGCAGACAGACACACATACATGGGCTTGATATACTATATGAGTCCTTTGGGGCAGTGGTTTGGGGTGGGCGTGATGAAAACCTTGTACCTGACATGGTGAAGGTTGCAGATTCTGAATTGATTGCTGTGAGGATGATTCTCGCGTCAAAGGTGAACTCATATTGTTCTGCCATCATCGATGGCAGCTGTATCCAATGGTGGCAAACTTTGTTAATAACTTGCTTACTATGCCCAACATATCCCAAGTTAGTTCAAAAAGGGAGCAGGGTCGGGGGAGCAGCGAGATGAGTGAGCACTTGAAGCTTGTTGCTCGCTTTGTCAGCAGGGCCCCCACCGCAGTCATGTTTTGCAGGCTGGCATTCAGCCAACGTCCGCCGTACTGGTGTGCCCGAAGCCTGAGTTTCCGATTGTTTTGCCACCTTGTCGGGTGGATTTGAAGGGAAGCCAACGGGAAAAGCACAACGAGCGCGCATTTTTCTTGGGGCGTCCCGATTTTAAGACGGCAAGGGATTTCAGGCATGCGAAGACACTGACACGGGCACGTGACACTAGACACGCCGGAATTGTCTTAGACAGTCCACTTGAAACTCGATGGCGAAGTTGTTGTGACAGCTTGAGTTTGATGTCATACCACCTGGGGGAAGCATCCAGACACGTGCGTGGAAGCTCAGCCCTTAAGACTATGAAACTTGAAATCGTGTTTTGTTTATTTAGCGAGGCAGACGGGCATGTTCGCATGAGGTTCTGGAGAGTCCCGAAATCTGGAATAGGAGGGTGACGGTTTTGATCTTGATAAATCAGATGATGTGCTCTTTGTTTCAGGTGCTTAAAAGGGCGCATTTTAGTGCTGAGAGGAGGACTCCCATTTTGCCTTTTGGTACGATCTTTCACCTTTGCACCTTGTGGACACTGAGCGACTGTTTCCTACTATCAAACAATGAAATCTCTTGGGGGTCAAACACCAACTGATTTAAACATGTTTAGCTTGAAGCAGCCATTGATCACACAACCACCTTGCGGTTTTTGTTCAAGGGAAACCAGGGTCTGATTGTTCAAATCAAACTTTGCAAGCAATGCAACGTCCCAGGTGGTCTTTCACGACACCTCCGGGGCGGTGCTGGGTTCCCAACGCAGGGCGTGGCAGCTGCTGTCCGGATACTCAGTACTCAGACAGGACGCCAATGGGCGGGAGGGAATGGACCCCTTTCAGGAGGCAGTGAGAAAGGATCGTGGGGGTTTTGAGGGATTTTTGGTTTGTTTGATTTTTTTTCCCGGAACCATCACGGAGGGTTCTTCCATGCGGAGCCCTTGGACCAGCTTGCACAGAGCAACTTGCATAGAATCACTTGCGCAGCTCAACTTGCACAGACCTACCTGCGCAGACCAATTTGCTCAGAGTCATTTGCACAGAGTCAGGGGCACGGAGCCATTTGCACAGAGCGAAATTGCACAGGGTCGTCGGAAGCAAGCGCTGATGGTGGGCAAGATCCGGAAAGCACCCTTTGGAGATGTGTTCTTTCAAGTCCACCGAGCCAACTGTGTGTGTTTTTTTGTTGATGCCTGCTTTGGGCTGGACCTACCATTTGGAGGGCCGCAGACATAGCCAAAATCAGGGCCCTTGGGGCAAGTCTTGCTTGAAATGAACCAACCCGGCTTCAGTTTTGGGGATCTTGTCAATCCAAGTCCCACCAGGAAGCCGCAAGTTGTAGAGGTCCCTGTTTTGGGACACAGAGAAAAGCTTGAAGCCATGTTGCTTAATTCATGGGTTTCGGCACATCCTCTTCATCGGGCCCTCAACGCAGCTGGGGCGCTGGAAGGTTGGCTACGCTTTTCTTTTAAATATATCTGGCTTCGTTTGTTTAAACAACAAAGACATCATCCAGCTTGAGATCATCCAGCTTGAAAAAGGAAGCCGCTGGATGATTGTTCTTTTCCACAGCTTTGGAAAGGTTGTCGAAACTTTGTTGTCAGGAAAGCGGCTCTTGGTGTTAAGTGGTTGGGTTTTGTTCGGCGCTGTTGCTTTCTTGTTCCAGCAGCGTTTCCTTGATTCTTTCCCGTGGCACATTTGTCCGCTTAAATTGTGGCACTGAGGACACCACTGACACCACCCTGCATCCCCAGTCACCAGTTGTCACACTAAACTGAGTTCTGGAAGCCGTTTTGGATGCTGTGGATCCACCCCTGTAAGGTAGGTACGTAGTCAAAGAGTACTGAGGAAGGGCCAGAAAGAGGTGGATTTCAGAAAAGACGCATCCAAACGCGACACGTGCCAAGGTCCCAGCAATCAGGGCACCTGGAGACGGACAGCACTTGGCGTCTCGAGGTTGTGGATGGGGCGTGGGAGCCAAGCGCCTGTGGGCTGTGTCAAAGCACTTTGCATATTTTTGGTTGCCGTGCGCAATGACCTTTGATTCGATCTGTTGACCTTCTGAAAACCGAGCTTCCCACTAAGTCATGAGGCATTTGAGTTGGTTGCAGACCCACTACAGCAAGCCCCTGCCCAACCCACATGACGAGGGAAGTAGTCGCTTGCTTAGCTTGCCCAGAATATTCCTATGCGCACCATGGATGGGACTGGGCAGGAGTTTCATGGTTTCCGAGACCTAACGGGCACTTGCATCGCCATGCTCGAACCCCATCGCCTCAGGGGCAGGTGCAGCCCATGTCCATGGACGCACAGCATCACAGGAAAATCGAGCCATGGAGGGTTCTCCAACGCAAAAATGTTTGCGCCGCTGTACCAAACTATTGTTGGATATTTGCTCTTGCAGCAAAAATACATGACAGTTCATAGGGCTGCGTAAAAACCACCTCCTCTGGTGGTTTTGAACATCAATTTCTGGTTGCCAATTTTGAATTCAGTCCCTTTTCTTTGGATGTGTGTACTGAAAGGTGACGAATATGGTGACCCCTCGCCCAGAGCGACGCACAGCGTGTGGAATCTCCATACAAGCTAGCCAGGCCCTAACTTCTAACATCTCCCTCCCATGTCAAACCTGCCCAGCCCGGGCCTCGTGTTTCGGCGTGCCATGGTGCTGGGAGTCAATCTTTCTGCCCGGCGACGTCCAGAAAGCTCAGGGCGACTTGAGCTCCGCCCAAAGCGCTGGGGACCTTTGGCCTTCGGATCATGTGAGTTGAAAGCCCTCAAGGCAGTGACCGCAGGTGACATATCCGCCTTCCATGCAGCCGTTGCATGCCTTCAGAATGCCTTAATGCATACATCCTTGCGCCAATACGGAGCTTTCCATTGCTCACTTCCCAGAAGCTACATGTCCGCCTTCCATGCAGCTGTTTCGGCTTGGTGGCGGTGTTTTTGTTGCCAAGGTTACTTATAATAAATGCTCCCCGCTGTTGGTAGTTTGAAACACCCCCTCGTGGGTCAATTTTGAGTGAGTTCCCTTTTGGTAGGGTGACGTTCAAGGGGAGCTAGAATATGGATATATATATATAGTTATTTATACATACATGTATGTGTCTATATATATAGTTATTTATACATACATGTATGTATATATATATATACATTTTAATATGTATCAACAGTGTCAATATATATATATATATATATGTGGCCGGTGCTGCTACGCGAGCAATGTGATGGCCAAGCTGCACAGTGCACACCGGAGAGCCAGACGACCGTCGGAAAGCAGAAGCTCTCGCAATGGCCACTCTGCTGTAGGAAGGATTTGGGGTTGCCAGGCGGCCTGTTTGCTTGTGACGGTCTTTGTAGATCGATTGTGTGTGTTGTGAGGGAAGGCAGCCTTTCCAAAAGAGAAGTCCCAATTTGAAGCCTGGGGCACAAGGCAGCACCGCTATTGAAAGCCTTGCTTTCCGTTTCCAGCTCTTGTGAAGCTGCTTGCTGCGGGATGTACTTTGACGACACGAGCTTTCGTGCACGGACTTTGCCACTTATTTGTGTCTGTCGCTTTCAGCCCAAGCTCCCTCGCGTTCGATTCGACGGCTAGGCGAGATGCCTTGGCCACGCGTCTGGCCCCGGACGCCTTGGCCAATGCCCAGGCGCACGCCTTGGCGAAGGCTAGGCGCTGGTCTGCGGCGCTGAAAATCGAACTCGGCAGCGGCAGCGCGGCCAATGCGGTGATGAGCAGCTGCGCCAAATCGAGGCAGTGCCCAGGATGCGATGTGGGTACGGGTCAAAATAAAACCACCAGGGGACCGCAGGTTTTAGTCTTTGGTTCCATGTACCAGGGTTCCATTTTGGACCGATTTTGGATTGGCAGAGTTGCTGATCTTTGATTTCTGTGACGCTCATGGGCCCCAACACGTGGGTGCGGCTCAAAATTAACCAGGAGGGGCAAACCGCAGGTTTTGGTCCATGAAGTGCCAGGGTTCCATTTTGGGTACGCATTTTTGACCCATAGCCATGTTTTGGGATGGATCCAATTGGCCGATGGTTGGTTGGGGGGGAAGTTATAAACCGAAAGCCTGCTGGCCAAGGAGGTGGTCAGATGAGAGTGTCCCAGAATTGAGGACCCCTTTGACTGGTAATTTGTTGTTGTTGGTACTGATCCATGACGTACACTAAACGCAACAAAATGTGAGTCATGATCATTTAGGTCCAGAAAAGAGCAGCCCAGCGTGAGGATCATTGCACGTTTGGCAGTGGGATAAGGCATGGTTCCTTTTGAGGCCACGTTGTCAGGCCAAGAGGCGGCAACTGCAATTCACGTGATCCTTTCCGACTCAAGATCAGGTGAGTCAGAATCAAGACCTGGTACCAACGGTGTCTGCCCAAGCCATGTAAAGAGTCAGGAAGGACTGTCAACTAAGCACACACCCTCACCCCCATTTCTAGTGTGGGTGCACCCTAACCATCAACTATCCTGCCTAGTTTCGATTGTTCCAGGGGTAGCTTCTCCATTTTTCCAAGGACCCTCCTTTCCGGATTCAGCCGCCAAAAGGCGAGGTGCGGGAATTTTCTTTGGTAGGTTCAGAAAGAAATGGTCCGCCCCCGAGGTGTCGATGCTTTTTCTCCCACGGGTTGCAACTGGGAATTGACCAGGCGTCCGCTAGATTTGGGGATGTACTGGGAAACCATCCTTTGGATGGAAAGGAAGGGCGAACCCGATTTGTTCATCGCTCATTATACTCCATGGCTTTGCTTGCGAACAAGGATCGAGTTTTTGGACTTCGCGGAAAGAGCAAAACATGGTTGAGCCATCAGCGGAAGACTTGCGGCTCAGGTGGACGGAGGCCATGGCCATCATGGCTGAGCTCTCCGCGACGCGCGCCGCGAGTCGAATCAGCTTCGGCTCGGCCATCAGCTGCGCAGCCAAGGAGTCGCACTGGAGGCTGGGCCGGGCGTCATACTACTTGGCCCCTTAGAATTCACATTTGGAGGATTTCCCTAGCCACGTTGGCGGGGTGTTTTTTTTGTCCACCAAAAGCGATCCCAGCGGAAAAGATACCGAGTACTTCGCGTTTTCTCCAACAGGATTACTTCCATCATTTAATTTGACACTTTCTTGGCTGAAGCTGACACCGGACCTAGTGTGTTCTGTTGTCGCACCTGTATTTCTGTGGCGTCTATTTTGTATGGTTGTTGTTGGTTGGACCAGTAGCCGGCCGAAGGTGTAGGTTTGTTGGGGGAAGAATCCGCCAGAAGCTTCCGAGGTTCGTGCGATGCGTCTGAGGCGGGCCTTGCACTTGTTCGATGCGCTTCAGGAGAGGAACTTGCAGGCAAATGTGGTGATCTTCGGCGCCACCATCGCTGCCTGCGAAGGGAAGTGGCGGCACGCAGCACCTCGGCATTTCGAACATGGAGATAGCCGGTTTGGAAGATGTTTTGGATCATGCATACTGTGTACTCTCTGGGACTACAGTATAATAAATAATATATATATATACACATACATATATATATATATGATATTTTGCATATGGCAGGTAGCTTTGCTGGCCCTTGACGTGTGAATTGTGTTCTGCCTTCGTCGGGCTCATGCAGAGGCAGAACACCTCAAGATAGTTTTTGCCATGGTCCTTTGGCAGCGCACAGGTGGAGTTGTTGGCAGCCGTGCGACGAGACAACCTGGAAGCAAACGTGATTGCCAGCGGTGCTGCTCTCAACGCTTGCGCCAAAGATGCGCAGTGGCAGCAGAGTGTGCAGTGGCTTTGCTATTACTTGGTGTGTGTGTGAGTGTGAGTTAGTGAATATGTGTGTGTGTGTGGAACTGGGGGGGGGGGGGGGGGGCTTGTTTTTGGTGGTATACAGTAGCCCGACTGACTCAGAAGCCTTCAACACAATGCCCATGATGGTGGCTGCACACGTTTTCGGAGTTGGTAGGATTTCCGCCAACTGCTGGTCAAGCGCTCAAACATATAATCGATAGCGAGGCACGTTTCCTCAATCAAGTGATGCTGAGCACAATCCACGACGTCTCGGATGCCAATGCAGGAATGACCGCATCTCTCCGGAGGGGTCAAGGGAGTGCTAATGAATGCCATGCCGATCCTTCTAATGATTTTCACGGCGTGTTGCCTTCCAATGAACACAATGAGAGGAGCAGCAATTCTGTTGGACAATGAAGCCTGCGAGAGTCAGGCAACTGAACAATAAAGCAGCCTGCGCTACCTTTTTGTGATCCTGCCTGTCGTAAATGGGCTTAGGTCCTAGGTTGCGCTTATGCTTCAGGGCTGGTGTTCAGGCAACAGGGGCGGCTACTCCGCCGCTCCGCCCTTTCACCAAGGATGCTGACCAGCATCGCCAGAAGTCTACAAGCGAATGTCCCGGTGTACACTGCAGCCATTGGCTCCTGCAGGGACCAATGGCAGGAGGCGGGCAGAGAATAGGAGCTCAGGGCTGGAAAACCCCTGGTAGGTGGTCCAATTCCGAGGGAATCCTTCAGTCACCAGGTTGACTAACATGATTTCGTGTTTTGGCCTGGGAAGACTGGCAATCGGAATCGTCCTTCACCTTGCCTTGTAAGTATCTCCACAAGAAAAATAAGAACCACTTGCTCTCGTAGTTGGACCACGCGCCATAGACGGCCGTGTATTTTCGTTGATTTTTCAGCCGGCGGGGGGGGGGGGGGGGGATCTCGGACTCGTCCACAGCGTTCATGTTTGTCTTCAGTGTTGGTTCAAATGTACCTTTCCGAGGACGCTCGTCTCGCCTTAGGTCTCGTCCTGATCTTGCGCTGTGCTGGCTCGTCCCCTCTTTTCTGCTGCCACCCAATCCTGGATCTTTTTTTTGCTGTGTGCCTGGACTCTCTCTTTGACGTAGCGACGCAAACCCCGGACCCGTGTTTGTCGCTCGTGGCAGAGATAGTCTTGCTGCCTCATCGGTTTCCACTGGCCTTTGACTCTCTTGGCCTTTGCTTGCCTGTGCTTTGGTCTGCTTATTGCCCCGTCCTGAGGCGTTCTGCGTGTTTTCCGCCCTCTCGCTTAGTCTCGCTGGCGTCCAGTTGCAAGGGGTGACACATCAGATGGTTGTCGCAAGATGGTGGTCGCATCAGTATGCAGAATTGATATATTTTGATGAATCGACAACATTTTGTGAAATCGGCAGTTAGTTTGCGGGATTCCGTGAAAGCATGTTGAAGTTGCAATTCTATTGGTGGAAGCACTGGTTTTGCTAATTCCCACTGGAATTGCAAGCACAGAGATTGAAGCAACACAGATGCATGAAAAACCATAGGAATATGAATGTGTTTGACCGCTTCGCTGCTGCGAGCATGACCAAAAACCCACGGCCATCTATGGCGCGTGGACCTAGTTCTCGTAGTTGGATGCCCAACTCCAGCCAGGCTCTGGCGCTGTTCCGGGAGATGGGAACGCAGCGCCTGCAGCCCAACGCCATGGCCTGCAGCACCGCGATTCGTTGCTGCGCCTGGGAGTGAGAAGAGTTCTGGGACGCACCTCTCACCAAGGGCCAAAGCGAATCAACCTGGTTTCCCTGATGCCCAAAAGGTTCCAACGGGTTGCCTTTCATGTCATTCAGTGGGTGCAATCCTCCCACATGGCACCATACCTCTGACAGAGGGTCAAATGTTGTCTTCCAGCTACCCTCCCGTATAGATTGTGAAAAGAACGCAAAATTGCATGAGCCTCCTAGTGTTTCTTAGTTTTGCTTTTTTCGCCTTCTGGGAGGACCTCTCGAATGGCGTCATGGCACATAGGGTTCACCAAACCTGGATTGTAATCTGAAGAATGCCCATAGTTGGGGGCTACAGCTGAGGTAAACAGTTGGGCACCAGACCATGGTGACTCAGCATCTTGCAGCGCTGGCTCAAGACATTTCCCCGCACGTGCACGTATTCCAGAAAATGCGTGCGCGCAGCAAGGGTGTTTGTTGCATCGGTGCAAAGGGTAGAGATGATGAGCGGCATTGCTGATCCTTTTGGATTAACCTCGCTTCATGTGGTGGCGCATTTCGTTGCCAGCACTCTGCAGTGCCAGATTGCACAGCCTGGACTTTGGCCTGACGCTTGATAGGCTTGCCGGTCAATGGCCTGCCCAACTGTTTGATAAGTTCACCTTCCAACTGTTTGATAAGTTCACCTACCGAGTGCAAGCTTTGTGCTTCTGGCCAACGGGGGGCGCGTGAGAGCAAGGGAAGTTTGCGTTAGCAAGTAGATGAGTAGTCGCTTGCCCGCGCACAAGCGAGTCACAGGTCAGTGACTGCAGATGCGCCATGTGCCGCTTGCAAGCTCTCTTGCAAATCGCACCTAGCCTATCGTGAGTCGAGCATGTTGATACTGCTGTGCCCGCGCCCAGAAGCATTGAGGCGTGCACCACGCACTCTGACCCCGTCGTGGAGGATGAAAAATTTCTTAGAGAGCAAGCGTGCTTTCGCGCCCCTGTTTGGTCGCTCTGAGACCAATAATGTTTCACAGCAACAGTTCGTATCCTGCGGTTTGCATGCTTCTTTCAGAAAGCCTTGCGGACAGGGTGAGCTTGCAAGCTTCTCACACCCAGCGCAGTCGGGCATTTGCGTTGTGGAGGAGGCGCAGTTGAACCCGAGAGCGCGTGCCTGTGCCTGAATGCACACGCCAAAGCTTTCGCGCAGTGCTGCAACATGCTGCAACCAGATGGCCTAGACGAGCGGCATTAGCTCGCGGCCTTTGACTCGGCTTCAGAATTTGCATAATTTATCTCAAGCTTGCTGTGGCTCTGAGCCTACAGCTTCGGCACAGCGGCTTGAATGCCTGTCCAGGACTCAGATAATTTGAAGAGCTTCTTGTGAACTTGTAGTGGGCCACTGGCGCAGTCAGGCATTTGCGTCATAGAAGATCAGTTGCCGCAGTTCGCGAGTGCCGGTGGCTGAATACACATGAGTACGCGTCAGCTCATTTCGCGGGTGCAGAGCCTTTTTTTGCTCAAGGATGGAGCGGGTTGACTCAGAAGGAGCGGCAGTTGTTGTCTACAAGCTTGTGGCCGACTCAGCCTCAAATCTTGGCGTGTAGCAGCGCAGAGCTGTCCTTTTCCTGTGCGCCGTGGGGCAAGCTTCGGCGTAGGACCTGTTTACTAAAGCAAACAAGCACGACGGGGTAGTTGCATTTCGTGTCAACGTCGTCAGCTATGACTTGGATTCAAGCTAAGTCGTGGTAAGACAACTGGCACTAAAGGTTTGCGTTGCTGAGACTGAACAGCCGATATTCGGAGTTCAGAACCCCGAAGCCGAGTTCTCAAGTCATAAATCGTGTTGCTGTTTTGCGCCTAAAGAATTGCTGGGGTTCAAAGCAACTATTCCAATTTGCAGTGCCCTGCCCGTGTTCTCGATATTTCAGGCGCACTTTTCCGGTTGTACTTAGCATCATGGGCCCTGCCTGCCATGAATGTGTGTTTGGCCTGAGCAAGCAATAGGCTCAGAAGAACAGCAGGGCTGCCAGAAACAACATGAAAGCATTAAGGAAAGCCCCGCGTAGCTTCGTGGAAGACGGGCAAATGCTACGCAGGGCGCACGCTCTTGGCACCCGCAAGCCCGAAAACCAGACGGGCGCTTCATGGATCTTGTGACCCTTGCTTTCTGCCGGGTGCCTGGGGCTTTCACTCACCATATCCAAGGAGCTGAAACTGCCTTGACTCACAGTGCTTGCCTGTTGGGCCCAGCATGAACTCGTGGAAAATGCTTCGGGCACATGCTAACGCCTTGCCGCCCGCAAGTCCGAAGCTTGTGACCACGTGGGTGCTCTAGCACTTGCATCATGGAAGATGAGCGCTTGCTTTTGAAAGTAAGCCTGTGGCGCTGAAGTGCCGGCTACTTGCTCCACGTTTCAAAGAGCGTCTGTCATGAGTTGCGAATGAGCAAAGAGCGCAGCGCCCCGGCCGATGCCGTGGCCGATCCCTCGAAACCCCGGCTTCGAGCCAGCCTCAAGTTCCGGACGGCTGTGCTAAACTCAGCGTGACTCACCGGGTGCTTTTTCAGCGCGTGTTCAGAAATTGGAATGACCGTCAAGGGTTGAAGTGCAACGATTAGCTCCTGACCACCCGTGCGGTCATGCGCGTGCGCCGTGGAACGTGAGTGGCTGCTTCGATGGTTGATGCATGGATGTGTTTCGGCACCTGCGGACAGTTTCGTGAAGCTTGAGTGGGCTGTCCCAGTGCCCAAGTGAGCCCAGCCCTTGCAAGAACTTAGCCTCAACCCCTGGATCGCTCTGGCTTTCTTGGCTGCTGGGCCCGACCTGCATTTTACCTTGTTGGGCACGATTGTTTGACCAAACACTGAGCCTTTGCAGGGGACAAAGGCCAACCGAGCTTTGGCTCTTTTGAACTTAGTGTATTTGACCACCATGGGCTGCCTGAGCGCTTGCAGGGCTCAGTCTGAACTTGCCAGCATTCGGCGACACATGCGGACAGAAGCTTCCGCCAAGGAGCATATACAGGCGCTGCCGAGTGTGCCGGCCGGCGCAAGGAGCTTGCCCCGGCTTGGCCAGTGCCTCTGGTCTGAGCCGCAGAGGCCGCTTGCAGAACTGAAGACGCAACCAGTAGCTTTTGACCAGCTTGCGTTGGCGCTTGCGTCATGGAAGATGGGCGATTGCTTTGGAGAATGAGTGGGCTGTGGCGACCAAATGCAGGCTCCTCGGGCGTCTAAGTCAAAGGACGTGTGTCAAAGCGCGAGTCTTTCATGAGTTATGACAGGAGTCACACGCTCCCAGCCCTGGCGTTGGTGAACCCCGGCTTCGACTCGGACTCAACTTTGCAGCAAGCTGGCTTTGGCTGTGCTAAACTCAGCTTGACTCCGCGGGCACTGCCACGGTTAAGGCGCAATGATTAGCTTCTGACCACCCGTGCGATCATCCATGTGCAGCATGCAACGTGCGTGGCTGCTTTGGAGCTTGGGCCCCAAGATGTGTATCAAAACGCATTTGCCAGCCGACTGCCGTATTGCGAGTGCTGGATCTTGCATCTGGGAGTTCATAGCTCCAGCTTCAACTCGTCCTCAGCTGCTGCCCCGAGCTTGCGCCAGCTGTGATAAACTCAGTGGCCCCAGCTTCCTGCCTGTTGCCAGCGTTGACTTCTCTCTTCTGGCCGCCCACGTGCTCTGGCGCTTGCGCCGTGGAAGATGAGCGATTGCCTTAGGGAGTAGGTGTGCAGTGGTGCACGAGTTGCCGGTGAGCAAAACGCAGGAGCGCCCAGACACTTCCAGCCGGATGCCCTATTGCGAGCGAGCGCAGGCTCTCGCGTCTGTGAGTACGTGGCCACAAACTCGTTCCCGGAGCTGGCTTAGGCTTTGCTTAACTCAGCGTGACTCGCAGCGCGTGTCTGTAAATTGGCATGATTGTCGGGGTTGAAGCGCAATGATTAGCTGCTGACCACCCGTGCGGTCATGCGCGTGCGCTGTGGAACGTGAGTGACTGCTTTGAAGTCGGCGTGCTTTGGTACTTGCGCGCAGGCGGTGAGTTTCGTGACGCGAGGGCAGGCCGTGACTGCCCAGGAGCCCAAGTGCGGCCAGCCGTTAGCTTTATAGCGGTGCCCGGCTCTTGCGTCAGCAAGTTTGCCGCCCGGCTTGGACAGAGCTCAACTAGCTAGCTTTCTTAAAGATTCTTGGATGCTTTTTTGGTCCAACCTTTACCCTGTTACCTTCTGGAAGAATGCTTGTCTTCCCACTCGCACGCGTGTTGTTGCAAGCCAATAGCCAACAGTCTGCCGCGTTTGTGGGCCTCAGGAGCTCAAGATGAAGTGGTAGGCACTTGCAAGGAATACAGACAGACAAGCGTGCATGCGCGTGCCGCGCTCGAATTCCAGAAGTGTGCCGACACGCCTGTGTCGGCTCACGTGGTGGGTTTGTTTGCTCAGGCTGACACGGACAGCCAAACCAGAAGGCAGCCGCCACTTTGCTTGGCTTAGCCCCCACGCTTGACACCCTTTGCTTGCGTGCTCGCACGTGCACGTTTGTCTTGGCCCTGGAGGATCGCGGTGTGGGACGGACGACGGACCCGTGCGCAAGTCACGGCGCGTACTGGGTGCTTCTACACCTTGGAACCAGGTGTGCTCACATTGCTGCAAGCATTGCGGAAATCGAAGCCAACCCAGGCTGTTATTTGAGTGCATGGGCCTATCTGGGTTGCCCTTGCTCGGGGAAGGCGTGCTTGACAGCTGGCGCCCTTCTCATTTTTGTGCTGCCAGTCTGCCGCGGAGTACGGGCTGGTCCGGTTGCAGTGCCTAACTGTGCTCCACAATCCGTTTTGCGCTCAAGCGCCAGCCAGTCAGGCCTCCTTCGCAAGCACTTCTTTGGAGGTGGGAGTGCTTGCAGGAGCTGAAGCTGGCAGAACACTTCGGGCTGATGTGAGTCAAGACTTGTTCAACCTGTAATTGGTACAATCTGCAAGAATGATTGGCAAGAGAGACTTGCCACAGTGTTCGCCATGGCTGTGCAAGCAGTC